ATATTTAACTCTTAATATTTTGTATGATTGAAGATATTTATCTTTTCATTGCTGTTTACTATCATATTTGACCTTTGATCAAAGTCTCATGTATCAATTTATTGCTCTTCTATTTATTTTGTAATTTATTTGGTTCGGTAAATAATGGTTATACATAGAGAACTTTCACTATCTCTGGTGGTTTTAGCAAATATTCTTATGGTATCATAACCCCTTCGTTTTAGCAACCCTATCATTTTACTTTCGAATCCTCCTCTCCTTTCAACACTATCACCATCAAGCTTTCTCCCTCCAATTATCTTAAAAGTCAAAAACAGGTTGGGCTAGGTTGATGGAAGTCTAGTTTCACCACCTCCCTCTTAATCATAAATCTTTTCAACGCTCAAGCACTAAACACTTTGACATGAAAAGGCAGTCGATTACTACTCTTATCTCTCACCGAGGAAGCCATTATTGTCGTCGTTCGTCTTTTCACTACGAGTGACGTTTGGCTCGCGTTTGAGACTATGTTCAACCATCATTCGAAAGCCCGTAAACGACATTAACAATTAAATTGAGGAACCATGAAAGATATAAGAGAAACACAGCTTTAATTTACTTGATATATTAGAATAAACATTTCTATGATTTAATAATTTATAAAAGTGGAGTTTAACTGTCCATATTAATTTTGTAATATAACGTCTTATTTTAATGACTTGAAGGTTTGAAGAGTCGCATTATTGAAAAATATGATCTAAAATCATTATTAAAACATAATTTTATTTGAACCATTTAGAAGATGTTGATGTTTAATCTTACTTTGACCTACAATAAAATATACAGCATTGATAGATGATAAAAGTCCCACATCTACTAATTTAGGAAATGATCATAAATTTATAACTGAGGAATACTAACTCTATTTGTATAAGGCCTTTTGGGAAGTCATGAGCTTATACTCAAAGTCAACAATATACTATTCTACAAACAATATCATACCATTCTACCATGGTAGAGAGTGGTCTTGATCTATAAGATATTTCTATATTTTCATCTTAAGAATTATGTTCTCTTGTGTTCAAGATATCTTTGTGTATCTCAGTAATGGATTCGAAAGTAAATGACGTGAAGGAGGGTACTACAATCCCTGAAGAGACGCAGAGCCCGGATACCACGGGAAGCTGGAAACGGGTGCTACCACAAAAAAGGTCGGAGGAGGGGAAATATGGAGACATACCACGTTCGCGCTGGTCATGTTGTTGGTCGAAGGAGTGGGAAGATGTGGAACACATTGGTCTAAGTTTTGGCCCGACGAAGGGGAGCAAAGAATGCCCTTGGACGGAGGAGTGGAAGATTGATTTTTCTAAACTCGTATCCAGAAAGTTGTTGCTCACGGGACTTATAGAACTGTATTCAGAGGAACATATGACAACCAAGATGTCGCAGGTAAACATCCTTTTCGCTTTTGATTTTGCTTCTGCTGCTTACATTCCGACAGGTGAGGGAATCTATTGGAAACTGGCTGACATTCATAATTTAAAGCTTTTTACACGGTTTATGAATGGGGAATGTTTTAATTCCTAAGACTGTATATTTTTATTTGCGAACACATTGGTTTAAGAATTGTTGATGTCAAATTGTAGCTGAACCCTACTTTTTCCATATTACAGTGAAGATATTGGAGTGGGGGGATGGCCCTGTTTTGAGGGAATCATTTCGGCAAAAAGTTGATGCTTGGCACAAGCTTCACCATCCTAATGTTACGGAAGTACCAACTTCTTCTTGTTCTAAGTTCTTATAGTGAATGGTTGATGTTCATGGGATCATATATTTTTCTGAATATGAATTTTGTTTTCTTCAACTCTGGTTTTGAGGTGGGTGGCTAATGATTATCCTTTTTATCTTTCATAACAGTTTGTTGGGGCTTCAACAAAAGCTATAAGTCTTCAGATTCCTTCAAAATCAAAAGTCTCTTCAACGAATCATCAAAACTCCATTTTACCTACGGCTTGTTGTGTTGTTGTTGAGTATCTTCCTGGTGGGACATTAAAAGAGTTGTTGATGAGGTGCAAGAACAGGAAACTTCCCTTTAAGGATGTGATTCAATTGGCTTTGGATCTCTCTAGAGGGTAACCCTCTCCCTCTAAGCAATGCAGGAAATAGCTTTTCTAAAGTAGAAGATTTACAGACTAAAATTATAACTAATTACACAGGCTTAGCTATCTACACTCCAAGAACATTGTGCATCAAGATGTCAAACCTGAAAATATGTTGATAGATGCTCACAGAACTCTTAAAATTGCTGATATTGGGGTTGCACATGTTAAAGCTCGGAATCCAAATGATATGACTGGGGAATTTACTAGTACTCTCGAATACGTTGCCCCAGAGGTAACTTTTTCATTCTGTTCTTAATACATGTGGTTATTACGCACTGGCAATGTTGTTTTATCATGTGTAATAGCAATTAGAACCGCATGTAGACATTCTCAAATTGTAGACGTATTCTGAAGAAAGGATACTGATTTGAAATGTTACATTCTTCTGTTTTTTTCCTTTATGAACACATGTTCTTTTGCATGAAACTTTTCTCTTCTTGGAGGCTCGAAATCAATTTGCTTACTTCTCGATGTCTTGTTCTAACTACCTCAAATGACGAAAGTACAGGCAAAAAAAAAAAAAAAAAAAAAAAAAAAAAAAAAAAAAAAAA